AAGAAGAGACTTGTATCGCTGAAGTCACTGGGAAAGGATTTTTACCGGAAATTATCAAACAAGCAGATACGTAACACTTGCTTGTGGCTATTCGAACAACTGGTAAACAAGTAGGAGTGAGGCTAAACTAAGACCATATGATAAAATTCTTAGAAAATATTTGAAAGTTTTTAGTGTACTACATTCCATCACAGTTTTATTTGATACTATATCTGTTTTGTTGTCTGTGCTTGACACTGGATTATATAATTTCTCGTTTTCTGAAATTTTGAAAGAATTTTTGTTTTGGAGAATGATGTCTCATCGGAGGTATTACACAAATATGAAACTGTGCTAATGGAAGCGAAAGTAGGTCAACCAACAAATTCCAAAACCCGAATTAACGTAGCTCGCTTTCCTACCAATGACTGACAATGCCTACTTATTCTTCAGAACATTCTGTTATTAAACAATATGAGAAACGTTAAGTCATGGACTCGTGAAACCTTGTTTGAGGAAAGTCCTAAAATACGACCTTTCGTGTTTTGGATGATGAACACAGTTTTCTATAGTATTCTGAAACCGTTTTTAATGCCTATATTTCTTAGTTATTAAAATCAGACTTGTTAAAAAACGACGCAGAAAACATTGGTTAGCTCATTATTCAGGTTTAAGAATTTTTGGTTCGAAATTTGTCATATGAATGAATTGGTTAGGATGTTGGTTAGGTTTTCAATGTTCGTATCCTTTCGTGGTCCGTTTTTCGGTAATAGCTGAACCTGTTCTACCCAGTTGTTTGAGCATATTTCTCTGTGAACTGGCGAGGTCATCAAACTGTTTGTTAAATGATGCGTAAGAGGCATAGTAAAAACGAAAGAACTGAATACTAGACAAGAAGAAGCGCCAAAACCCCTTTAGCTTATTCACGTAATTTGGTTACTCGCTATAATTCATTGATCTCTGCTGAAGTCACATAAAATTATACACGTTAAATTTATAACTAAATATAATAGTTCAATATTTCTGTCATTTGTTTTTAAATCTTATCGTTTAATAAACTTTCGTTTAAACGAAATAAGCATTAATTCAGAAACATAAACTATATATCTGTAAATATTCATTTACCCTTCGGTGTTTGTTCAACGGTCTGATATGAAATACCCTTGAACACTATTGTAGTAATTAGTTATATATCGGTCCCACGTTTCGAGCAAAACGTTGATGCTATATTCTAGTTTTTCTTTTTCTAGTCAAGTCGATTAATGAGTATTGGAACTTTCAACATTATGTAGCACATGGTCTACACGTCTAGGTCAGAGACCTGTAGGACTTAAGCAGAACCAATCCTGATTTTGAACTATTCACCAAAGTAAAGGCATCCAATCAAGCTTGATTTCGCAAAATTTATCTATTTCAGTTAGCTATGAAATGTGAGGTTAGGATATACTATGGGGTGGGAGTGGTAGTACTTGCCCCGTCATTTCTGACGAGCTATACGTTAGTATAATACATAAATCCAAGAAAACGACAAATATATAAAGTTAAATGAAACTATTAATAAATTTCCTGACCTTATCTTTGCTACATTGTTTTGTTTTTTCAAACTAAGGCGGCTATTTATGTAGCATCTTTATAATCGCCGTCTGAAGTTACTAAGTTATATGTGGTCGAACTAATGTTTCCTCAAAAAATTAGGATGGTACCAAGATCTGATTATGATCTAAAAACTATTTATATATACTTATATATATAAAACTAGCTGGAAGCAAAGTTTCCGTGTTTCCAGTTCAAGTTGAAAATTGCACGCACACATTCAAAAACAAAAGGATGTTAATGGGAGTTAATATACTCGTAACTTGACGTTAATATTTGCACTTTTTCTTAACTGTCTGTTGGTTGTCACAATAGGCAGAACCGCGAGGTAACCGTTGACCATGCCGCACATCACTCAAGTATGGACTTGACACGTTAGCTGGTATTTTTTTTCAACTACGAACTAACCTTGTCAAAACACATGTAAAATAGACGCTCATATGTTAAGTATGTAAATAATATTTTCAGTGTTAGCTATAGCAAGCAATAAATTTATACGTCCTTAACGTTCAGCAAGTTTTGGTGAACCAAGTTCCTGTTAGAGAGTGATATTACAACCACTGTACAAGCTTTCACTTTTTTCTGTATCAGAGCAACCACATTCACAATAAACATCTCTTAACACATCAATAAATTTACCTTAAGATGTACTGACGTGCACAGGAGGAGGGGGGCTCAAGCCCCTCCCTTTCTGCTCTTCAGCCCCAAAATGCCCCTTTTTCTCTGTCATAAAATTATAAACAGCTATGAAAATATACACCAGATTCCATATCTTGTTTGCTGTGAGTGTTTAGCGTTAACGTGGATGGCACACAGAGATTTGTAGGACTTTATAGTAAAATACAAGAAATGTTATTAAGTGTTAATATGCAATAATTTGCTGTTTAGTTTTAGATAGTAAAATGTTTTATAAGACCAACTGAAAACCAACCTATGGGCAGAGCACAGATAGCCCATCGTGTAGCTTTGTGCATAATTACAAACAAACAAACAGATATAATGCTTGAAAAGTGCCCTTTTTGTCGATGAACCTCAGCACTTTTAGTGTCCTCTGGACATTATTAAGATGAAAATAAATCAAAAGCAAACAAACATATGTAGTTTACTGTATGTTTGAATAACAATATCTGTTAATAAGTATTATTATTATTTAGAGGATTGCTTTTGTTATCGACTTCGACCCCCGAGTCTGCAAATGTTTGCACAATTTCTTCATGTTATTAATCTATTAATTCTTTTTCAAAATATCCTGTTATCACTATGTAAAGATCTGCGGCCTCAACTATGTAATAATCTAGACTCTAAAATCTAGAATCTAAATTATTTGCAAACTGATTCGTACCCATTTTCTTATCATTTTAACAGAACATATGAGCATGGAGAAGACCTGGCATAGCCAGGTGGTTAGGGTGCTCGACTCGCAATCTGAGGGTCGCGGGTTCGAATCCCCGTCACACCAAATAGGCTCGCCCGTTCAGCCGGGGGGGCGTTATAATGTGAC